CAGCAGCCACCTAATTATAACTATACAAACATTAGAAGCTACACACTTGTCTCAAATAACAAAGTAAATAGTAGGTTGAATGCAAAATTCAGATTTTTCTCACCTGAGAGTCATCGTCGGTCTTCAAATCACCTGGTCTGGTCTGGTCCAATCTTCTCTTGTCAGGTTTATGAAGAATTCACCACTTCTGCATCAGTCAGCAGCCACCTAACTTTACAGACAGTAGAAGTTACACACTTGTCTCAAATAAGACCAAATAGCTGTAGGTAAAATGCAGAATCTGATATTTCTTACCTGATATTCCTCTTGGATCTTCAAATCATCTGGTCTGGTCCAGTCTGTCTTGTCAGATACAGGCAGTTCCCCACTAGTGCCGATCAGTCAGCAGCCACCTACAGTACATGTAACTACAATGTGTAGAGATAAAAGTTACACACTTGTCTCAAATAATAAAAGTAGAATGTAGTTAAAATGGTAGTTAAAATGCAGAATTCATCAAATCATCTGGTCTGGTCCAATTTGTCTGGTCAGGTTCAGACAGTATAAGTCCTCACTACTGCATCAGTCATCACCTAACTATATAACGTTACAGACATTAGAAGTTACACATTTGTCTCAACTCAAATTAACTGTAGGTTAAATGCAGATTTCAAATTTTTCTCACCTGATATTCCTCTTTGGTCTTCAAATCATTGGTCCAGTCTGTCTTGTCAGGTTCAGACAGAAGTCCTCACTACTGCATCAGCCATCATCTAACCATCACATACATTATAAGTCAAATTAAAAACTAGCAATGCAAACACACACACCTTAAATTTATAACTTGTTATATAATATCTTTACTTTAAAACAAACACATACCTCGACGAAAACTATACATAATGACCATAAAAATCGTGGATAGAAACAACAATAAAATAAATCAACCCCCAATCAACTGAAACTTTATGTGGAATACAAAAACACTCGGCGCAAAATGTTTTGAAAACAGGAATTTCTACCTTTAAGCATAGCCAACTGTAGTGTGCGTTTGTGCCAGAAATACGTGGGCTTGGTCATTTTAATACTATTTACTGAATTGCTCTAAAATGGAAACGAACAAGCTTTTAAATTATACATAATACATTGCAAATGATAATGAAGAACGAAAGTATGGTCAACTCGACTTAACTAGTTTTCAATCGTTTTATATCGTATTCATTTCGGCGCCCTGAAGCTTTGAGGCCACGTTTACGCAATTTTATGGCGGGAAAAATAATTATGTACACGGCCACATTCCAACAGGTGTTTTGAACCACGTGGAGATAAAGAAAAAAGGTTTGGTCGATGCACAATTTCTTTCAACAAATATACCTCAAAACGCTGAACAACTGACTAAAAAGACATGCACATACATTTTATATATACTCTACAAGCGCACCACACATTGAAAATGTTGTTGAAAACGCGGCAACGTGATAGACTGTTTAAAATTCGGAACGGTCGCTCCCTAATACAGAAAATTTTCTTACGGAATATAACTTGACTTGTTCGTACTAGCTGCTAAGGAATAGTGTCAGACAAACAATGTACTGGTTTACCTGCAACGATGAGCGAAGTCGTCTCTATACCACGCTACTCTTCCCAACCGTCTCGCCATTTTTGTCTTCTCCAAAATTCGCCAGGTGAAGAAATCCGCACTTTCTCTTCAAAACATCACCAGAACGGTACAGATCCTCGGCGAACACTCCCAGACATTTTGCTGCACACTTACTAAGACATTCTACCGACGAAAACGTCTAAAAAGTACCCAGCAAGTTTGAAGAAATCATCCCAGAGTATTTCCGTCGTACGAAAGCGCCATTTTGCACGGACCAGTCGCCAGGCTTGTTTTTACACAGGTGTGCAGAACGGCCGTGCATAATTAATGTGACGTTGATACTAGTAATCTAATTATGACGACCAATGACGGCCCGTTTCGGTGCCAGGCACTTATATGTGTCGAAGAAGGACGATTAGATTACGAGTATCTAATTACGAAAAATACTAACGTTGGTGCACTTCTGTACACTGGGCCAGGGTGTGTAAGAGATCCCTTGTACTCAGGTTTTGACTATTCGATCGTGTTACGTTCACTACGCTGTTATAAGATGGCGTGTTGTTTTTTGCGACTTTCGATATTATTCTTTACTCCTGAGAAGAGGAAAAGAAGGTAAAAGGTAAAAGAAATAAAATAGAAACTTAACATTTGCAAAGCAAATGCATAATGTTTAACTTAACTATATTTATTTATTATGTTTACCGAAGCCCAGTCACTATGTTTTCGATCGAATATTTGTGGATACGCACCATGTGCCCGCGTTTTGCTTCCTCAGGAATGTATGTCGTAACATTGATTACCGGTTTATTTTTGACGTATGATTTAACGGTTCCGGTTGTCATTCTGAGTTTCATTACGAGTTCCTTGCAGCAGATTAAATAGAATTTCATAAGTTCGCGGGTACATGTTATAAGCTGCAGATGAAAATGTTGACCTGTTAACACAACCAGGAACGCTAAGTCTAACCCATCAACTAATACATAACAAACAACATATAAGAATATACAATAAAAAGCCTGGAGGTATAAAATCTCAGATTTTACTTGTAACAAATAGGGCCTATTGGTAAATGCAATTACATGTGTCAATGCTTTCTATCAGATGTATGTATTATACATGTATCTATTTATGAGCACTGGTGTGATGTGAAATATTTGTAATCTCCAAGCAGATCTTTCGGTGGCAAGACAGTATCCATTGGCCAGAGGAGTGTCCATTAGCCACCGAAACA